TTCAAGTGTACGTCAGAATCGAGGTGGTTAACGGTGAGTGAAGCAGCAATACCTAGAGGTTGAGGAAGGCCCGGTTGCGTTTGGAACGCTTCTGCAACATATTGTCGCGTCATTCTTGTTGAACCCAGACCTCCCCGTTCGATTCGGGGCTGGGCCATGACTCGGGAGAGCAAAGATGTATTTTTCCCACGGCGTCGAGAAAAGTCCACGGCGTCGAGAAAAGTCTGGTTGCTGCAGAGCCCCGGTGCTTAGTTGTTTTTTAGTTCGAGGGTTGATTTGGGGCTTGTGGCGTGGATACGTTGACGTGGCAAGGTCATTGAGTTGACGTTGGTTGAAAAAGGTGTCCATGAATCCGCGACAGAAATTGTTTGAGGAAGGCCCGGTTGCGCTCGGAGCGCGTCTGTGATTCATAGCCCACTCGGCAAGGCTTACCGTTTGATGCAGACCTCCCGTTCGACTCGGGGCCGGGTCATTATTGAATTTGCAGCCTTTTTATTCGCTTCCTTCCTTCCGTCCTTCCACCGCCCGAGGGTATTGCTGCGTCGTCTGCCAGGTGTGTGTACGCGAAAGATTATCCTACACTGGAGCCCCGGTGGAATTGACAGTCCTGCCTCTTGTCGGAAACAGACATCATACAGGGTGAACCCGTTCGATCCGGGAGAGGGGCATATGTCAACCCCCCCGTTTTTTTTCTTCTTTTCTTCCCGTTAAACCGCCGAGCTGATTTCCATTTTCAACGCCTTCGCGCAGACGTCACCGTTGATTCGAGGCACAGGGACCCAGGGCACGAGGAAGCATCGTCAGCTGGCCATGGTCCTGAGTTCTTTGAGTTCCTGGCAGTTGGATTTGGTGACGAACCGGGGATATCAAATCGGAGAGGTTGAGGAAGGCCCGGTTGCGTTTGGAACGCGTCTGCAACTCATAGCTATGCATGAACAGTAGATTACCCGTTCGATTCGAGGCTGGGCCATTCGGAAATGAGTATCTGGTTTTTTTTCATCGCTTCGAGAAAAACTTGAAGGGTTGATTTTGGGCGTGGGGCGGTTGGATTTGACGTGAAAAAGTCATTGAGTTGACATTGGTTGTAAAAGGTGTGCATGAATCCGCGACACAAATGTTTTGAGGAAGGCCCGGTTGCGCTCGGAGCGTGTCTGCGATTCATACAGCGGTTGACCAGGTTTGATGCAGACGTCCCGTTCGACTCGGGGCCGGGCCATCCACCTGCAATCCATCAGTGTTGCGCTGTTTTTTTCCCCTCCTTTTTCATTCTCCTCAACCGGACGCGGGAAATTGTTGTTTGTGAGGTGAGTGCAGCGGATTATCGTACACTGGAGCCCCGGTGGAAGTGACAGTCCTGCCTCTTGTTGAAAACAGATATGATACGGGGTGAACCCGTTCGATCCGGGCGTGGGGCATACTCGCTCGTTCGAAGTTTTTTATTACAGTACCAGATATCGTGAAAACCGCCGAGCTGATTTCGATTTTCAACGCCTTCCCGCCGACGTCACCAACTCGATTCGAGGCACAGGGACCCAGGGACCCAGGGCACGAGGAACCATCGTCAGCTGGCCATGGTCCTGAGTTCTTTGAGTTCCTGGCAGTTGGATCCCATTCAGCCTGCCAGAAAACTCAGAGAAGCCGTCAATGGGGCGCTGGTCATTGTTCCCAAATTGCTCCTCTGCTCATGTGCGCGTCTGGGACTGAACATATGTAAGCTGTATCTGGGTCGCGTGCCTGCGGGTTTTTCGTACCGGTGAGCGGCGTTAAGCGCGGGAGGGAGGTTGAACAACTGCACCCGGTCCAGGCCCTGTCAAACGTTGACACCCGTCCATCAACTCCTGCGTCAGCCTCAGCGTGCTGCTTGCCACATCCGCCCATCCCGCTCCCGCTCCCCCACATCCTCCTCCGAGTCCTCGTCGGCGTCGGCGTCGGGATCCCCGCCCCCCCAGTAGCACAAAAGCACCACGACAACGACAAGGCGAAAGGCGCGAAAAACGATGATCCGCTTCGACACCCTCCCGCCCGAGGTCGTCCAAGCAATGTGCACGCCCATGCACCAAATCCTCCCGCCCGTCCCCCTCCCCCCCGCGCCCACGCACCCCTCCTCCGCCTCGCCCTACGCCCCCTACGGCCCCGGCCAACAACACCAAGCGCCGCCGCGCATGAGCGGCGCCCTCTACCTCGGCTCCCTCTCCGCCTCCAACGACCACCCCCTCCTGCGCGCGCACGGCGTCACCCATTTGGTGCAGGCGCTCGAGGCCGCGTGGGCGCCCCCTGCCCTGCCGGAGGACGGTTTTTCGACGTTTAGCGTGGATATAAGGGATAAGGCGAGTGTGGATCTGAGGCCGCATTTGGAGGCGGCGTGTGTGTGGATTGAGCGCGCGTTGGGGAGGGGGGAGGGGGTGTTGGTGCATTGTCAGCAGGTGCGTGTACTGCCTCTTCTCCCCATTCTTCCTTCTCTTTCCCCCACCCTTCTTGCATGGAGACACTAACGCGGCGCAGGGCGTCTCCCGCTCCACCTCAATAATAATCGCCTACCTAATCCGCAACCACGCAATGTCCTACCCCGCCGCCCTCGCCTTCGTCAAGCGCAAACGCGCCTGCGCCAAGCCGAACGAGGGGTTCGCGCGCGCGCTGGTCGAGTGGGAGGCGTATTGGGCTGGGAAGCGGAATCAACAGCAAAATGGCGGTGGGGGGCACAGTGGGGGTGGTGGGCAGCGCCCGGGCGTGGGGAGGCGGTTTACCTCGTAGATACGGAGGTGCGTACGGTATGCGTGTTTGGGGGGAAGGCGCGATGCTGACTGACGGTGTGGTACGCAGATCGCGGATCGCGCGCGATCGAGTGCGCGCACACTGACTGATGTTGGGCGATGTGGTGCCTCCGTGCGCTCCATCCTCCCCCCTCTCCACATATCCCCGCCATCTCCACCGACCCACCCACACCCGCGCCATCGATACGCCACCCCCCTCTCCTCCCCTCGTGCATCCGGCGCGCGCGGACCCACGCGCTCACCCACGCGTCATCGATGCGCGGCCGCCGCTGCCTCGCCTCGCCTCGCTTCTCGCTTCTCGCTTCTCTCTGTTTTCATCAGTCTGTATCGGTCCGTCTATCCGTCCGTCCGTGTATCCCTTCCTTCCTTGCTTCTTTCGATTTGCTCGCTTCTTTTTGCTATCTATCTGCGTATCTTCTTCGCGTCTCTCTATTCTCCCTTCCTCGTCTCCACCGTGTCTCGACCTCATCGTCGTCTGTGTTACCTCCCTCCCTCCTACAGATCTCCCTCGTTTGCGTTCCATCGTTGCGTTGCGTTACCTACTCTCCCATTAAAAGCCACCACCACCCTCTCTCTCCTTGCTTGTTGTGTATATCTCTCCGCGGAATTCATCATCATCATCTCGTACTCACCACCACCACCTCTCGTCCTTCCTGCCTTCCTCCCTCCCTCCCTTCCTACCTGCTTGCGTGTACATATCGCTTCTTCGCCTCGCTTCCTCGTGCCAAATCTTTCCTGTCCATACCTTACCTTACCTTACCTTCCCCGTGTCTATATCTCCCTTCCCTTCCTTCACCTTCCTCGACCCCGTACGTACATACATACATATATGTATGTACCTATCCCCTCTTGGGCTGTTGTTGTTATATATGGGTTTTGTTTGCTGCTCCTCTTCGTGAGACGCTTGTGCTTCATCTCGTTTTTGTGTCTTCGGTGGTGTGCGAGGCTATGACGTTCGAACGTCGGATTAATTTTAGGAGGGTGGGTTGAATCCGGCTTGTTGGCTTCTTGTGAACGGCGGGCGCGGGTGTTGGACATTCAGCGCTACAATTAAGTGGGAATATCGGGTGTGGTGCGCGGTGCACGCTCCCTCCTCCTGGAGAGTCTTCGACTTCATTGAGCAGGAAGAGGACCGGGTTCGACTCCCGGCGCCTGATTAGAACGGATGGCGTGCCGTTTTGCTCCTTTCAAAGCGATATGTTACTCCGACATGAAGGAAAGTCAGTTGGGAAACACACATCCACAATCGGGCGTAGTGCGCGGTGCACGCTCCCTCTCCTTGTCATTGTCGTTTGGTTTCGATGGGAGAAGACCGGGTTCGACTCCCGGCGCCCAATAGATGAGTACCGCCTCCTTTTCTCCTTCTCTCGAACACACTTTTCAGCTGATGGCTTCATTGGCAGCGGGCAGGGTATGAATGTACGGGCGTGGTGCGCGGGGCACCCTCTTCCTACTTCTTGATACTTGGTTTAAACAGCGAGAGTCGGGTTCGACTCCCAGCCCCCGAATGGAATCTGGAACACGCGCTTTTCTTCCCTTGAATTCCAACCTGAAGACTTTCCTCCGCTCTCAATTTACGGCCTGAAAGACCCAAGAAATTCGAATTCAACTCCGCGGGATATTCGGTCGGAGTGCGAAAAGGGTACACACGGGCGTGGTGCGCGGTGCACGCTCCCTACTCTTGCTTCATCCAGGATCGCCTGAACTGGGAGAGGACCGGGTTCGACTCCCGGCGCCCAATAGACGAGTAATGCCTCCTTTTCTCCTTCTCTCGAACCCACTTTTCAGCTGATGTCTTCATTCACAGCTCAGGCAGGGTATGAATGTACGGGCGTGGTGCGCGGGGCACACTCCCTTTCATTGTTGACTTCGTATTGTATGAACAGGGAGAGGACCGGGTTCGACTCCCGGCGCCTGACTAGATAGTAGGAAAGCTTTTTTCGTTGAATAATATGCGCAACAGGAAATGTACAATTGACAGACCACATGGACCAGTAAAAATGGGACTCGCACACACTGTGAATTGCTTGACAACCTGCTGGGAGCCCTTGACCATGCTCTTAGGCTTCAAGATATTATTTTCCCAGCCCCCGAATGGAATCTGGAACACGCGCTTTTCTTCCCTTGAATTCCAACCTGAGCCTGACTTGCCACCTCAACGGCTGGAAAGACCCAAGAAAATTTGAATTCCACTCCGTGCGATATTCGGTCGAAGTGTAAAGGTACAACACGGGCGTGGTGCGCGGTGCACTCTCCATACTCTTGTTTCGTTCTGGATAGCTTAAACAGGGAGAGGACCGGGTTCGACTCCCGGCGCCTGACTGGAGCACTAGGGGAAATGTTTTCCTGCTCGCATACGCCCTTTTTCAAACCGACAACTCCGACATGGAGGAAAGTATCATTGCATAAGTGTACTCAGTTGGGGGATTGTGGATACTACACAATCGGGCGTGGTGCGCGTTGCATACTCCCTCTTCCTACTTGACAATGGTGAGTTGAAACAGGGAGAGAACCGGGTTCGGTTCCCGGCGCCTGACTGAGTAGAACAAGAATACGGTTTTTGCGCTGTTGAATTTCGACCCGACGAGTTTCGGATCGCCTTGCAAACCACCGACCTTCACCTGCTCCCAATTCATTCAAAGGGCCATGACATAGCTTTGAGATGGGTGGTTGAATTCGGTCTGTTGTGCTCGCGCTGGAGCGTGAGTTGATCCTGACGGCACGAGTGTTGGATGTTACCTGAGTGCAATAGTTGGTGGGAAATATCGGGTGTGGTGCACGGTGCACGCTCTCTACTCTTGTTCTGTATAGCTTGAACAGGAAGAGAACCGGGTTCGACTCCCGGCGCCTGACTGGAACGGTGGAATCCAGGGATTTTTTCCTTCCTTGAATTCCTTCCTTGAATTCCAACCTGAAGACTTTCCTCCGCTCTCAACGGCCTGAAAACACCCAGGAAATTCGAATTCAGCTCGGTATCGACATAGGAAGAGGATATATACAGTCGTGGTGCACGGTGCACACTTCCCCTTCCTACCTCACGCTGGGTGTCTTGAACAGGGAGAAAGACCGGATTCGACTCCCAAGTGCCCAATAGCTGTTTGACAGTAATGCAACTTTTTCTTTCTCTCGAATCCACTTTTCAGCTGATGGCTTCATTGGCAGCTCGGGCAGGGTATGAATGTACGGGCGTGGTGCGCGGGGCACACTCCCTACTCTTGGCTTCGTCCCGGATGGCTTGAACAGGGAGAAGTCCGGGTTCGACTCCCGGCGCCCTGACTAAATCAAAACCTGCAGAATCGCTTTTGCACCTAGAATTTCAACCCGACGAGTTTCAGTTGCGGACGACGACCTGAAGATACTGAGGATCGGAGTCCAACTCGGTAGGATATAGGATATTCAGTCGGCATAGGCACAGGGAACACGCGGGCGTGGTGCGTGGTGATGGTGGTTTCGGTCTCGATGGGAGAAGACCGGGTTCGACTCCCGGCGCCCGCCTAAGACCTTAGACGCGGCGAAGGCGGTTGTTTTACTTCTCGCATAAGTACACCCTTTTTCAAACCGACAACTCCGACATGCAGGAAAGTTGCATTGCATAAGTGTACTCAGTTGGGGGATTGTGGAGAATGCACAATCGGGCGTGGTGCGCGGTGCATACTCCCTCTTCCTACTTGACGATGGTGAGTTGAAACCGAGTTCGATTCCCGGCGCCTGAATAAGTCTGAACTCGTTCCTTTTTTTTTTTTTTTTTGCACCTAGAATCTCCAACCGGCGAGTTTCAGTTACTGACGACTTGAAGCAGGCCGGAGAATTGGAAGGTTGTGTATCTAACCAACTCGGAAGGTTGACTATTAATAGTGTGAGGAATGGGAGTACGGAAAGCCAGGTCTGGTGCGCGGTGCACGCTCCCTTTCATATGATATCTCTGTTCTGAGACAGTGGATTGAACGGGAAGAGGACGGGGCTCGACTCCCGGCGCCCGCTAGAGGTCTTGAACATGCCCTCCTCCTCTGTCACTCTGAATTTCAACCTGAGCCTGACTTGCTAGCTCAACGGCCTGAAAGACCCAAGAAACTCGAATTCAACTCCGTAGGATATAGGATATTCAGTGGAAGTGCGAAAAGGGTACGCACAGGCGTGGTGCGCGGTGCACACTCCCTCTCCTTGTGATTGTGGTTTCCGCGTCGATGGGAGAAGACCGGGTTCGACTCCCGGCGCCTGACTGGCAGCTTGAACATTCTCTTTTATCCGTTCCTACCAGACCGTTGCAAGATATAATATGAGGTTCCACTCGGGGGATTGGTAGATCGACGTGCGAGGAGGACACAAAGCCCGACGCTGAGAATCTAATTTTTCACCTCCCCTCGGTTCGGAGGAGTCCTGGAAACAGACTTTCGTTGATTTATTCACATCTGGAAAATCATCCACACAGTCAGACCACACTTGGTTTATCCAGTAAAGCTCACTGGAAAGAATAACATTAACGCCAGCCTCTCCGTCATCAAGTGAAAATCACCGCGACTCTCATTACTCGTCGCGGCGACTCTCCGCCGGGCCCCGTACCACATCCCTGACGTTGACTCTCCGTCATTACTTAAGTACAAATTTCTGCCACTCTCATTATTCGTGGCCGCGACTCTACCCCATACCACATCCTTGGGTGTGTCTGTTGAATCTACGGCAGAGAACAGCCGGTCGATAGGGTGAACCACGTTTCGAGAGCAAGCTTGAACCGTGGGAAGTTCAATTGATGCCAAAAGCCAACCGTGGGAATTTGGATTGATGGAGTGATGTCTCCGCTAAATCGAATCCAAACACTCCAGTTTCCGCTGAATTCCATTTTCCGCTCAAAATCTGGGGGATTAAGGTGGTCTTTCGCTGGTCCAGGTTATTATACTTAACTATAGTGCCTCCTCGGACGAAGCGTTCATTGCTGGGTGTTGTGGTTTGTTCTCGCATTCCCGAGTGAAAACTAATTTGATAATTACCTGCGGATCGTCGTCATGCCTTTTTTTCCTTTTCTGTTGCCCTGGAAGGACAGGCCAACGTCGACGAGGAGGAAGTCAAGGCCGGCACGCTGCCTGCCGAGATTGTTGACAGGGCCTGGTCCAAGGTCCAAGCCGGTGCAGTTTGAGTTGAAGTTGGTCTTAACGCGCCCCTCGTCTGCTAGCACTCCTCTGTTCATGTGCTACTTGGCCCCTATTTCTGAAGTGTCTCTGAGCCTGGGAAGAGTCTGGACCTCGCATTACTTCAGCCAGACGCCAATCGCTTGCGCAGTGTGGCAGCCTGGGCACTGTTTCGAAATGGTATTCCGGCACCGACGGGGCCCACAATCTTTTCTGCCAGGATGGGAAGGCTAGGTATAACTAGCTGAGATTCATCCCGCGTGCCCTGGATGTCTCGCTCAAATCAGGGGAGCCTTAAAATCGACGGGAAGGCGTTCAAAACGTCAAATCACCTCGGCAGTTCCACGATGAATAAGAGAGGAAAAAAACGTTTGCACCCCATACTAATGCCTCACTCCCGAATCGAACGGGGTCCTCGACCAGTGCAGGACAATGGACATCGAAGACCAACGGGGCTCTGTCGCAGCACAACACTCGCCCGCGCGTCATGTCGAGCGACGCAAGGAAACAGAAACAAAAGGAATAAGCCGGATGGAGTCTTATAGCCCGGCCCTGAGTCGAACAGGGGACTCTGCATAATATTCTTACAGTGGCATTATGAATTGCAGACGTCTGCCGAGGGCAACCAGGCCTTCCTCGACGGCCTGGTTTCTTCGTCTCACCTATCTCTTTCGACCCACCATGGTGGCCTAACACCGTTCCGCTAGTACGACAATAGCACGATTTCTTCTCCACGCGAACGACCGAGGACAAGGAAAAAATGCCGGAGGCTATCTTCAATATGGCCCGGCCCCGACTCTGACTCGAACGGGTAAACACTCACCGAACGGTGCAAAGGTGCAGACGTGTTCCGAATACAACGTCAACCGGCCTTTCTCAACACTTCAGTTTCCCGCTTGACCAACATTCAACTTCACTCCGTAGCCGAGGCGAAGCAGGAAAGGTGTATTCTTCTTGCGCGTTCAGACAGCTAACCTAATGAAAAATACGTTCAACGCTACGAATAGTATGGCCCCGGTCCCGAATCGAACGGGTGGATTTGCGTTGACCTCGAGAAATGTCGCTGTATGGATTGCAGATGGGTTCCAAACGCAACCGAGCCCTCCTCGACGGCTTTCTGTCTCGGCTTCGTCGACATCTATTTTGACTGATCCTTGCGCCCCAGTTTCTCTCAACAGATCAGCGTATACCCCAAGTCCAAATGGACTCTGGAGCCGGAGTTTCCTACTCGCTGGTACTGGCGCGAACAGCCAAGAAAAGAGGGAAAATTATAATGCCTCTAGGGTCGCCTCCATGGCCTAGTCCCGAGTCGAACGGGGTCTGCGTTGAACCAAAGTTGATACCACACGGGTTGCAGGCGCGCACCAAGCGTAATCAGGCCTTCCTCAGCCTCTTCCGGTTCCTGCTATCTCTTTCAACCAATCTTTGAAGCCGAGAATCAGTTCAACATCTCTCAACCCGCTGGCTCCATAGCGTAGAATCCGCGTACACCCAAGATCAACCCTCGAACCATAAAGAAGTCAAGCGCCGGGGTTATCCCTCGCTAGGGCAATTTGCGTCGGAAAAAAATGTCTCCGCCCCTCAAATTATGGCCCGGCCCCGAGTCGAACGGGGGAATCTGCGTTCAATTTACGCAACCTGGTTCCATGGGTTGCAGACGTGCTCCGAGCTCATCCAGGCCTTTCTTGACACCCTGGCATCCCCGCTTGACTGACCTCTTTCTATGGCCACATTCAACTCAACACGCTCCCACCCCCCTCAACTCGATACCCGGTATGGTCCACCGAAAGTAGATAACGCAAGCGCCAGGGTCTCCTGCTCGCTCGGACTGACGACGTCTGGGTAACGAATAACTAATGGGACGGAAAAATATGACCGCAGATCCATAAATGGCCCAACCCCGAGTTGAACGGAGATCTGTTTTAATTTACAACCATCGCGCTCCATGAATTGCAGACGCGTTCCAAATGCAACCAGGCCTTCCTCAAACACTTGGTATCACTCATCATCTGCGTCTCCCAATTCCTTCAAGTTCAATGCAACTCCCAACCGCTTCGAAAGCATTCATTGTTCGGAAACTTATCATTCATTTTGTGGGTATCCTTCAACTTCCTTCTCGTCGTCCTCAGAACAACCGCGGAGAGAGAACAACCAGGCTGACTTTTCCATAATGGCCCGGCCCCGAGTCGAACCGGGGAATCTACAACAAACTGCTCGGGGGCGCACATGAGCTGCAGACGCGCACCGAGCCCAACTCAGCCTTTGTTGACAGATACCAGTCTTGAGTTCACTCACATGTCCTTGGATGATCTTCGATGCAAATTCAACTTGTCAGCTCAACCTCCGCCCTGTTCGAGTTTGCAATGCGCCAGTACCGCCATCCTCTTGACTCACACTGTTCCAGTATTGGCAGAAACAACACGGAAAAAGCCCGCGAGCAACTAGCACCCCTGAATCGAACAAGGCATTGTGTTCTAACTCTCAATAACCACTATTACGCTTTGCAGACGCGTTCGAAACGCAACCAGGCTTTCCTCAGCAATGTTTTGTTCCAGGTTCATCGACATCGATTTCGATTAAACGTCGCCGCCGAAATAAATTTAAGATCCCTTGAACTGCTATATCTTCGCGTCCACCCCAGCTGCCACTCAGACAAGAAGGAAAAAGAAACACTCTATTTATAGCCCAGCCCCGAATCGAACGGGGGAATCTCCGTTAAATTCAACCACG